CTGTGAAAGCCTCCGCAGCGCTGGGCCTTGGTTTGCTGTTCCTGGGCTCAGCTGAGCCCTGGCCGCGCGTGGCCGGTACAAGCCGTCTCAGCGTTGACAGGTTTAACATCATTCCCACCTCTAACTAGACATCTGCAGGAAACAGAATCTATTTTGCATTCTGGCGTCTGTGGTATTACCCACATTATGAGTCTGCCCATGGGCTTACGTGTGGGTTGTGTATACATCATGTTTTAAATCCCTCGTGTTGAAGAGAGGGTTAAGTACAGCTTTTGATACGGCCAGTCCTGGGTATCCATATATGAAAAACCTCCTTCCAAGGGTAAATATTTCTCAGGGTACTGAAGGTTTGAATGATCAATACATAGTTGCAAGGGAATGTATAATATCACACTCAAAAATACTCGAAATAAAAAATCCTGGTTAAATTAACACTAGCTGATACCAAAAGTGTGTGTTCTGTCCGCATAGTTGGCAAGAGCTGGAGATTTCCGTGGCAGTTTCTCCCTATGTCACTTCTGCTTTGCCTTTTGTGCATTTTTGGTTTTCTTTCCATTAACAGAATATTTCTGTTCCACCTTCTTTTTCTAAAACTGTGCTCCTCAGAAGCATTCACACAGCTCTGCAGCACAGCTCCTCCTCATTCTCCTGGGATAGTAACTTACGGCTAGCCTATGCCAGTAGTAAATTACTAACCCCACCACTTGCTGGCTCAGCGGCTGTAACCAATAAGTAGCACCTAATCATTGCCCATCTGCTGCAGCAGAGGAGTAACTACGGGTTCAGTGCTCCTCACTTAGCCTGTGTGCTCAGGCCCAGAGCCGGAGTGGCTGTTTAGGAGATCAAAGGGAGTCCTTACTCCCTTGTGCAAGTGCGTGGTCCAGTCTAGCCCTGAATGATGAGCATATTTATAAATTAAAATAAATCCAAGGAGTGAACTGGCTCAGGGGAACTCTCAATCCAATCGAATTAGACTTGTGTATCCACCTCAGAGCAATTCCTGAGAAGCCCTGCCTTCATGAAGCTTCATTTGTAATCACTACGTGCTGTGTACTTTAGAAAAGTTTTATAATTACTTGCTGTTCCGGCTGCTGAGCAGTTCTAAATGTTAGATATTAAGGAATTGCTGTTTCAGTCAGTGAACAAGCTCTGAACATTAAATGTGCTTCATGAGAAGTTTTTTTCCCAGCCATTACACATCTCTGAAGGCATATTTTTTTTCAAGTGGATGCTTTCCCAGCTGTTGATCATCTCTCTGTTTCTTCTGTATGAAGAGAGGAGGAGGAAACCGATGATAGTGTGACATTGTATAAAGGCTTTATCGCTATGGAGGGAGACGAGTGCATTACTCACAAAAGCAGGCGTTGAAATGATTATGCAGGTCATCCTGAAAAAGTGCCAGTAAAACCTTTATCATGCATATTTTTGCACATTTTTGTATCATATATGTTACAGAAGAAATATTTTAGCAATGCTTTACAGAATTCTGTAAAAGAATTTTGGTACCTTTTCTTACCTCCCTCCAGCACTACACCTGGATACCTTGGGAAGAAGCAGCCTATCTTTGTCATGGGTCAAGAAGATACTCGGCTGAAATAGCTCAGTGACTGGTACCAGGTGCTGGATGAGAACTGGAAATCCAAATTAAGCAGGTGTTCTTAAGGCAGTGTTGTAAAAGGTGATAGCAGTGATTTCTTTCACAGAACAGCTCATCAATTACCAAAAATATGCCTCGTGCAGAATTACGTTGAAATGTAAGATGTGTACGCTGCAGACCATTTAAGACTAGAATCAAGTGCTGTGGTTCCCATTTCCATTGATACCAGAATGGTGGTCCAGTGATTAATGAGATTTGGAAAAACACAGATCAGTTCATCACCCTGTCCCAGTCTTCCGTATGACCTTGTGGGTGTCGCATAGCTTCTCATGCAAAATGGAGATAGCTGTCTCTACAGTGGAACAGAGAAGAGATTTAGGAGTGTACGACCCTCAAGCCCCACTGCAACAGATGCTATATAAATAGAGTATGGACAGTAAGTCCCTCGTTTTATTCCTAGAAGATTACCCAGTGGCAGATGTAACTGTCAGTGGTGGAAAAGTGATTCTGATAATTCTACATTTGGGAGGAAGGAAGGAAGTTGATGTCAGACAGGTTTATGGTAGAGTTTAGTGCTTCTTAGAGATACAGGCTCTTGTTTCTGGTTGCAGTGAAGATAATCTTGCTGAGAATGCAACTAGGGCATAGTTACACAGTTTGCCATGTAGTTCTCCAGATGTGTATGTGTGTGCATAATAAATGAAAAAATGTTGAAATTTTCTTTGATTGCCATAATCGAAGTCATTGAGCATCATGGACTTAAAATATAAATCCCAAAAGATGTACTACAGTCCTCTACATATTACTGGGTTCAAATAAAAGAAGAATCCCTTCACATGTGAACTACAGGATATATATATCTGTACAAAATAGGAATACTGAGACAATAATTTAAAAAAAAACATGTCTACGCTGAGAGCTGACTAGTCCCTGCCTGCAACATGATCCCTGGAGAACTTCCCAAATGCATCTGCATGTGTCCATGCTAACTTTAGCCAGCCTGAGCTAAGGTTCCTGCTGCAGGTGATCTCAAGAATCATGTAGGAAAGATGTGGTCACCCCATGCTGCCCGTTTTCAATTGTAGGACATCATTACAAGGGTGTGTGGATACCTTGATGTGGCCAGCTACAGCAGGCTGTGGCCTGTCCCCACTGCAGTTAAGTGTGCCATGAAATGCTACATAGAAACAGGATGCCCAAAGGTTTTGTTCTGGGCATTTCCCCTGGGTGGCTCAAACCCAGGCTTGAGTGTGTGCTGCAGGTAAACAGTATGGACAGCTCGTGAGCAGAACACCAGGCTGTGAACTCTTAGAAATGAACTCTTAGAAAGTGTCTGAAGGACCAGGGAAGATGAGTTGTTGTGAATCGAGAGCTGGGAGCCAGAAGGAGGTGAGCAGCCCTCACCTAAGTCAATGCGTGAGCAATCAGTGGGCTGCCTGGAAATGAGCCCTTTCCCACCTACAGCTCCCCACCTAGAGCTCTCTGATCCGGTCAGTGGAGTTGTGGGGCTTTTGTGGTAAAGCCACACATTTCACATCTGCTTAGAGGCTGTTTAGAGCCGTGCAGACTTCTTGATCAGAAAAGCCTTCCTGACATATATTATGTCTTACAACAGCTTTGATGCGTGCAGAAGTTTATTCTCTGTTTAGCGTAAGTGAAAGCACTGAGATAGTCAATCACATGTAAAAATTTTTTCTCCGTCAGTTACTAAGCGTCACATCTAGCAATGGTGAAAATAATGGCTTTTCAGGTGTCATTAATCTAAGGCATAATGGTTCCTTTAACAGCTAAGTGAACACTGTAGCTCAGGTGATTCAGGTATCTTTGCATATAATCATGCTTTCAAATAAATTACAAAGTTCAATCCAGTATATATTCATTTGGAGATGTCCCAGAAGTGTGTAAACTACAGTTATCACAGTTGCCTTGTATTTACAAGCTGGGAGATTTATTTAGTAGGAGCTCTTCAAATGGGAATAGGCTGGTCTTGAGTTACACATTGCTAAACCCATCCATCTACCGCATTACTACACAAAACCACTCTTTAAATGCATGGAGGAAGTATACCACTATTGCAGAAGTGTTACAACGTCTCTCTTTTGACACAGCAAGAAAACAGCAAGGAAGTAAATTTGAAGCATTAGGCAGTATTAAGACTTTTCAGAGTAAGCCATCTAAATGAAAACCCATAATCAAAATAATTATCAGGGGAACGCATTTGCTTTCAAAGTAATCATGCAAAGTAAAGCACAGAATATGTCTTAAGTAATAAAAAATGGTGCTTTCTGTTCAGAGGTAAAAAGAAGTCTAGCACCTGAGAATCTAAGTGCTTTGTACATGATCGGTTCTTGATGGATTTTCTCAGAAATGGGCCTTCGTGTATTGTGTATTAAAAAAAGAGGAAAATTTGAAGCTGTTATGTGATGAATGCATCTAAAGGTGTGATGAAGCTGGGATTGGGTTACTGAAGCTAGGAAGATACCTGTCTTTCTCTTCATTTAAAAATTATTACAGCGTAGGCTTAGATTGAAGTAATATTCTGTGAAATATGAAGACTTTCTACACTATGGAAAGACATTCGGAAAGTTCTAGAAAAGTTAAAGTATAATTTCTGATGCAAATACTTTGTACTTTTTTTTTTATAAATTAAACTAGCAGATAGTCCAGCAACTTTCTTTCATATATTCTTTTTATTTCTGATGTAGTTAAAGAAATTCAATGTGAGGGAAATAATGTCAGTATGTCTTTTCGTATTTGTTATTCAAATTATCTTATGCCTCCTGACTTCATAGTATATTTTACCTGCCATGGATTTGTTTTTTCTGTTTGGTCTCAGATGCCTGGGTTTTTAATTTCCAGAGCATACCCCTCTAAGTTTAGCCTAATCTTGTCATTTTGCCATTTAATCACATTAATTTTTCTAATGGCTTTCATGCAGCATATATGAACTTCAGTTACACTGAGTTTCATTGCTACGGATTTATGTGATTTTTGTGGTGGACATAGACAATGAGTCTTGTTTTCCTTTTTGGCTGTGCTAATTCTGGGCTCTTCAATCTTCATGAGCTGCACTGGACGTGACTTTGGTTGATCAGGGTCAAATCCATCTTGCAGTAAGGTTGAATCATACTTTCAGAATCGTAAAAAACATGTAATGGAATAAGTCTATTTTGTTCTCATCAGATACAATATCCTGGATCCACATAGTGTTCATACTAAGAGCAGCTGACCCATTTTGAATAATTCCAGTTCGTGTGCTCTGAAGAAGTTGTAGACTGGAAACAGCCTTGTGTACTATCTGCATATAAATAGCTGCATTTTCCAGTAGCTAATATGATTCACTTCATTTGCCTTCTTCAGCGAAAGTAATACCTCTTCCTTTTCCCTGTTTTCCTCTTTTCAGAAGTAACAGTTTATTCAATGAGGTCGTGCAGATGAACTTTGAAATAGCCAGTTTCAGCAGCCTTTCTGGAACACAGCCCATCACCTGGCAGGTGGAATACCCTCGGAAGGGGACAACAGACATAACCTTGTCCGAAATCTTCATTTGCCAGAAGGATCTTGTTGGAATTGTTCCATTGGCGATGGTAAGAAACTGTTTCAGCATGTTGTTCCATCCGACCTGTATGTGCTCTGAGAAAACATATACCAGGCCTCAGATAGACTTGTCAAGGTGTGCTCTCTGCTCTGCCTCCCATTTTATAGCTGTATAGTAGGACTGCTTGCTAAAATCACGCCCTCATTTAATGGTCTGTACACAACACACAGTTTCAGTTCTTACAAACTTACCGCAGAGGAAAGGGATGCTGCCACTTTAGAAATCTCTCTCAGACTTTAAATGCTGAATTTCTGTCATGCATTGGTTCCCTCTAGGCTACCAGCTGGTAACTCAAAGGCAAGTATTTTTACCTTCCCATTTCTAATTGCCATTACACGGCTTGAACTTGCAAGCTGCAGAGCAACTTCTGCTAAAGCCTAAGTTGGTTGGTCCTTAGCAGGCTGAGGCTGATACTGATTTCGCTGGCTGTTTCCCTAATAGTGTAAGAACCTGTGGTTTAGAGGAAGAAACAGAAAATAATAATACTCTCAATAATACATTTAGGAAAAATGAAACATAGGCTTTCTTGTGGAAAAATGCCTTGGGTGAAAATGTGCTTGCTCTGTTCAGTGTGTGTAGCACCAGTTGTGGGCTACCGGTGAAATCATACCTGTTGCCTGTCTTTACAAGACTCACAAATGTGACTTGTGGAAGCACTGTCTCCTTCTCTTCCTCTGGCCTGCTGAAAATGGAATTACTTCTGCAAAGCAAGACTGGGACAGTGGGAGCACAGAGACTTAGCAGTTGGGGCCCCTTCCTGCAAGTGAACAGTCTAGGATTAAATTCCTGCTCCGAATCAAGGAAACAACAAATCTCACTGGGGTCTCCAGCATCTCAGGTGCACTGATTTTAGGTAGGCATTTTATTTTCTGTGGGACTTAGGTACATGCTGAGACTTCTTCCATGCTCGCAGGTACCAAAGTAGGCACTGAGCATTTATTTTGGAAGTCGTGCTGAATGTCAGGAAGGGGAGAAGCACAAAGCTGTCAGCTACCTAGAACAGGACAAAGTGGCAATTAATAGAAGAGCTGCACATGCTACCATTAGTCAATGTTAGAGCTGAGGATTTGAAAGAAGAGTTAGACGTATCCATCCTACTTGTGAATTTTACCTCTCCTGTGCATAATCTTGGTGGTGGAATTCTGGCAGTCTTTTCTTTGAACAATGTTCAGTGGTTTGCAGCAGATAACTACGTAAGTATTATTTCCTGGAAGTCCTAGTCTTTAATATATTCTTACCCTTTGAAGAGTAAAACTGCTGCTCCTATCAAATGAGGTCATGCCCAGCAATTTCCTGATCCAGAGTCTGTGAAGTCAGCAGAAAGTCTGTTCTACATTCCACATCTGAGAAGGAAATATAATTGTCCTCATTACCTGTGGCGTTGAAAAGGGAACACATATTTGAGCATCAGTCCTCTAAAGACTTCAGAACATGCGTGAGGAAGGCTTTTGTGGTCAGATTTTGTTTTGAGATAGGTGCCTTCCAGTACCAAATGATAGACGTCTGTCTACTGGCAGACTTAGCATCTTCTTCTTAAATCTTGAAAGAATTCATCAGCTGCTTCTCTGTATTCCATTTCTGAGGAAATCAAGATTTTTTTTTAATACCTCATATCAGGATCTAATGCCTTTGCATCTGCATAGAAGGTTCAAGATTTACTCGCAGACTTGTATCTATTCTAGATTAAAATTCATCTACCTACAAGGGTTTTTTAAGAACTGGAGGTCTAAATGAATTAATTTATCATTGTATAAATCATATAAGGTGAGATCCTTTATTCCCAGTAGATGTACCAGTAGGCAGTCTGTGTTGTGCGAAGGGTTCAAACAATGAAATCATTAAGCCTTTCTCTTTGCAAAGCTTTCTTGTGTTTATCTCATTTCTGTACCTTGTGATAACACTTGGCTGGAGCCAAAACACCCTGTGTTTACAGAATCCAGTTGGATGGGATACCAATGCAAAACTGGCTTTGCTAGCAGGATATTAGTAGATAAAGGGAATTTTCAGAGTTTTCTGTTAGCTAACACTGCAGAAACAAGAGACACGCTGAAAAGCGAGAGGGTGATACTGTATCTACTGAGAAGTCAGACCACTCTCTTTATCTCAGCTACACACTGTAAAGCAACAGCGCATTATTGTGCACAGAAATTAGATCTCAGTGTTTATCAGCAAGTATGTTTCGTGATCGTCTAGAGGGTAAAGTAGGTTTTGCTGATTTAAGCATGGAGTATTCCTACAGCAAACTGCTAACATCAAAAGTAAATTCTGTCATTCAGGATTTTTAAACGTGGCCAAAAAAAGGGAAGGAAGGAGCTGCCCAAAGATATTTACTGGATTAGGATGTAGGATCTGATTGAGTCTTTGCCATTGGTCTGATGGGCATCCTGCTCGGTCTTTTGAGGATGAACGCAGCAAACTTTTGCTTGGATTGGGTATAACATAAAGGTTGTCTCTGACTCACAGAGTAAAGCATGTCTCATGTGAGCCATTCCAAACTTATGAAGTAAGAAAGATCCTGTATCCTTTATTGCCCTATGCCTGATTACATTACAAAAAAGCAGTAAGATGAAAAACAAGTGGGCCTTCGAAAGGTTAGTGCAATTGTTCCTACAGTATTCCGGAATGAGAGATATTAAAGAATTTATATTGTCACTAAGAACTGAACCTGGAATACCAGTGGAGCAAGTGGTAGGATACAGCTGCTGAAAAATCAATGGAAATTCATCATACAGTCAAAAGAGAGGGGTTTAGTAGAATCTCTATTCTGTGTGCCTAAATACTGTGCTAAATAGTGTGTACAAATAAGAAACAACAATGCAGTGATGCTGCTGTAGTGAACTCTACAGTGAAATAAAAGGAGCCAGAGATATTAAAACTACTGGGCTGAGAAAATGGGATGTAAATTTGAGGTATGTATATTTTTTTCCTGAGCTCAGAAGTTGATCAATCTGAGTAATTTTGGAGGACGTTTCACCCTTCAAGGTATTTAGAGAGAAAAATGAGACAGAAAAGTTAGAAAAATGTAATTCTAACTGGTTCTGTTGCTTTCCAACTCTCACATACCAGAATTTTAGTTAAGTGCTGTGGGGAGTGATGCATCAAAAAGAGATCCTTGTCAGACATATGTAGTACTCCCACTACCAAGCTCTTGAGTATGGCACTTGGTGCAACCATCCACTCATATCTTTCATGCAAGCTGTATGAGATTCTATATGTCTCACTTAAAGTATGAGATTAAATTTATATGTTATATTTCCATCATTGAATAGCAATAATTAACTGAGGCAAGATTTGTAAAGAGGTAATGTCATTTATTAGACCATCTGATACAGATGGAGAAAAATTGTTGCTCTTTCAGGCACACAATCCCTCCTTTAGATCCCTTGACTCACTTAAATCACAACAGCTGCAAAATACTACAGCTATAGAAACTGGGGATTGTAAAATTAATCAAGTAGGAGAGTTAAATAAGAAAATAAAAATATTTCTTAAGGCAAAACAGAAAATATATCCCACTGTCTGCTGACAGCAAAAATGTACTGCAAAGATTTAATCTTCCGGTAGAGGAAATCTGTTGTCTGAGTTGTGCCCTATTCTGGCATTTTTTATTTCCTATTACTTGTTGCAGGATCAATTAGGAAAGTGCTTTCATAGGAGCTTAATTAATTATCTGCTAAGCTGCTTTTGAAAACCTCCTCAATTAATCACAAATAACCTCAGAACTCACCAATTAAGGTGTACAAGGTTGCTTAACTTCCCACATTTTCCTCAAATTTCTGTCCTGTCATGAGCAAATGTAGCCAACTATATTGATTTTGCCACCTGACTAATTTGAAAAACAAAACCAAAATTGTTCACATTTGTAGCACACGCACACATACAACACTGAAGAAGTCTATATGTTTGTGTTCAACACAAGACTATGTTGTAGGAAATTTAGCACACGATTTCATGCTTTAAATGGATAATACAAATTTTTAATACTATTAAATTTTGGGTTGGGATAGAACAAGGTAGAAGACCTGTGTATAAGTTCATTGTTTGATGCCATTAAGGCACATTAATATTAATGGAGAATTCCTTCATGGGAGGAAGATGGGGAATCAATGGTTTAATATTTATGCAAGACCATCTGTGTCCCTGAATATGAAACTGAAGCAGTAGTCCTTCAACAGCAGGATAAACTCCTTCTGAATTAGTTTATCTTTAACTGTGACTTGCATGAAATCCAGGTATTTAAAGTGCTGAAGCATAAACCAAATGTCAGGAGTCTATTCTGCGCTTTCTAGTCTTGAATTTACTCCAAAAGGTATCTGTCACCGTGGGAAGCCATGCAACTTCCTCATCCATGCATATTTCCTCTTCAAAATAACACTAATATGAAGTTTTCAGTGGGTCTTTCAGGCTTCATTCATCAGGGTCTGTAATCCATTGGTAACTGCTTACAAACAAATCGAAGTTGCAGCACCTCTCAGGCATTACTTAAAGGTTGTCGCAACTGCTTCACTCCTTAGGCTCAGAAGTTTGTCTTTTCTCCCCAGCTGTATCAGTGGGTCTAATAAAAGATATAATCTGTCTCTACCCATCCTGCCTTTCTACTGATGTAAACTTTTCCTTGCGTAATAGCATCCTGTGAACCGCTGGTTAATCCAAGTTCAGGGTTTTATGTAGAGTACCCTGACAAACCCAGCAAGAATGTGTAGCCGAGGTTCCCCTTGGCTTCTCATTAGGCAGTACGGTTCCTCACATACGTTTTGCTCAGTGGTAAGTTGTTTCATTACGAAGTGCTTGGTTTGCGTCCTTTACATTCGGAATTTAATGTATGGACAGTTCTGCTGCACAAGTAAGCGAACGAGCATCTAAGATGCAGAGCTATGACTCAGACAAAAAACTTTTTGATGGTTTTTTATATGCTTGTTAACTCGTTTTCCATTAAAGCACAGATGATCGAAAATTTAGCTCCCAAAGCAATGTTTGTTTTATATACAC